AAAGGACTGTACTTAAGAAGTATTTGTATTTCATGAATTATATTATTACATTTGGCCGCAGCCCTCAGATAGATTTTMATTTTGGGGAAAAGCTTTGTGTAGCCTTGATATATGTATATCAACTGAAACAACTAGACTAGTTCATCCTACATTTAACATAAATTAATTATTTTAATATGACAGTCATTTCTGCATTTGTTGAGCAGGTCACCTCCTAATAAATGTCATTACAGAAAATACAACAGCTCATTTTAAATCAATACTTTTACTTTTGATACTTAAGTACAAAAATATCAGATACTTTAAGACTTTTACTCAAGTAATATTACTAAAGGAGAATTTAACTTTTACCAAAGTAAATTTTTGGTAAGATACTTGTACTTTTACTCAAGTATCACTTTGTGGTACTTTATACAACACTGATAATAAATATGATATTTATGTAAAATTAAAATGACAGAAATCCATTGTGGCAACTGAGAACTTTAGGACTAATTCAGGCTAATTTTTAAGTCCCGAGACAAACTGAATCAAGACATTTAAAAACAGTTCAGTGGCTTTAGTTTCACCTACTTTCCCTTCTTCAGCTTCCTCTTCATTACTGCGCAACCTCCCTTTCTCCTCCAGACTTCTCCCACGTAAGGAATACTCTCCGATTGGTCCATTGGGCTGGGAGGGGGGGCTCCAAGTCAGCGACGCGTGGTCAGGGCCGATGAAAAGGAGCCGTGGGGGGAGCTGAGAAGCAGGTGGAGCTGCTGCTGTGGCGATGTGCTGAGGAGGGCTGCGCGTGCAGCCTGCTGAGGTACAAGCTTCAAGTGACAGAGAATAAATGGTCCACGGCTCCAAACGACGGAACAGAAAACTGCGAGATAACCCGCTAAACTCCAAGTTGCCCTCGCTGTACAAGTTGTACACCTGGGAGGGAGAGAAATTAGAAGGTAGTAAAAGAGAATAGAAGTAAAACATAATGAAACCAGCACAGAACAATCAGAGGCAGGTGTGTGGACAAACTTATTTCTCTTAATATAAAATGTGACCCATCACATCGAAACGAGGATTAAGTCCAAAAGTGGTAAATGGAGAAATAGGCAAATATAGTGTTTTGACTTAAATGTTAACAAAAATTGTATTTTGTCAAAACATAATGAATAAATGCCTTTATTCAGGATAAAGACATTTATCATTTGAATCATTTGAATGAATTGTCTGAAATATAACCATAAAACAAAAATTTGAAGCACTTTTTTGAGCAGTAGCAACAAAAAACCTGATTTTGAGGAAAAACGCCTTAAAATTTTGAGATTTTCTCTGTGAGCTAGCAAAGCTGTGTTTCTTTTTAGCTGGGAAATCTCAATATTCAGATATAACTTGAGGTTTCCTCTTTATAAGGACATCAAAAATTCCTCATTAAAATGACATAAAATTAGGATTCAGACCAAATATTTATGTATTATTGTAAACAAGACAAATTAAGTCATATTTATGGATTTAATTATGATATCAGAATGATTCGGGTATCAAAATGAAGCTTTTAAAGCCAAGAATCTGAAAATGTAATTTGGTCATTTTGACCAAATTTGACTTGATCCTCATTTCGATATGATGGCTCACAAACGAGAACTTATGAATAACTTATATGCAACGTGAGAACTTGTGCCTAACTTATCAGCAACATTTTGTGCATGTACAAACGTTTTGGCAGGCATCAGCATACAACATGCTATTGTATATCAGTGTGTTGGTAACTAATTAACTTATGTGACTTACACCAGTGTGCTTTATTTTTTGTAGATTGGTATACACTGATGTTCTGTGAAGTAAAAAAGTGATTTGTCATCATACAGCATTTAATGTTATCACTATGCTCCGGACTATGCTGTTTGGTATGTATTCAGTGCTGTTATGTGCTTTGCATGTACCGTAATAACTCCACTTGGAACAAGTGGCTGGTCCCAGCTTAGCAGCAAGGCCCTGCCCTGCTCTCGTTGCTCCACTGTGAAGTTGGGCAGGCCAGCTGGAGAAGCCTCCAGGGTTCTGATGTCCACCCTTGGACTGGAAATGCTACCTGAAGTTTGACAAAATAAATAAACTAAGTCTTGGTGTTCATGTCTCATTCTTTTTTGCAATGATTATGCAACCTACCTGCCCCATTAACAGCTTCCACATGCAGACTATACAGACTGTACGGTTCAAGGCCGTAGACTGTTGCCTCGAGAACTGAACCCTGACACACAAAAAGACCAACATATTATAAGTATAGGGAAGTGCAGTGTTGTAGAAACTGTATATGCGGGGTAAAAGTTGGATTTCAGATTAAGCCATGGATTGAATTACAGTAAATGTCTACAGAGAAAGGGTGATAGTGTTGTGGGTCAAATGCCAAAGTAGAAGACAGCAACAGAAAATCGGTTACACAAACCAATCCTGCATGAATAAAACCAGGGCATTACTCAATAAATTGAGGAATAAAAATAAACAATGGCGACTAAGACTACATAACATGGGATTTGTGATATCAACACTTCAACATACAGGCGCTGCCTTGGAGAAGTAAGCAGACACCAGGCAAATGGCTGTCCCTTATGGGTGAATTCAAAGCTTTCAGATTGAATGTTTATGTCACACATGCACCCTTTTATATCGCATGCACAAACACATGCAGGCGCAGGGTGTGTGCCAGTAGCTTTAGGCAGTGGGACCCAACCCAACACTCTGGCAGACACCAGGACAGCGTGTGAGTGAGTGTGTGACACAGTGAAACCACCATTTACTAATTGATAAGAGGGACACTGTTGTTCCAAAAGGCCCTGGCGTACAATGACATGGTAGTCTGGGAGAACTAGGCTCAAGGCAGTAACGTTGTAGCCCGTCTGATTGTGTGTTTGTTTATGACTGTGAGCTCTGAAGCAAAGCTGTCTGTGTTTGAACCCATTTGTGTAAATGTACAACACAGGATGTTACATTTCTTTCATGTGTTGAGTCTGCAGATCAAATTTTGGCTGTTCAGGAGTGTATGCTTTCACATAACCAAGCATATGTAAAGAGATTAACTGGTAACACACTTCAATGCAACTGCAGGAGGATCAAAAGGCCTCCACAATTCAGACTGAATCAAATAAAATCCCTGACAAATCACCGTGGCATGGCACCAAGGATGAACTGACTGAACAACAACCAGAATGCATGTACTTGCTATATTCATGTCTAGAAGCCAACATATTTTTCATCCACAGTAAAACAGGATTAATAAGCCCCTAGACACCTAGACACAAGCTAAATCCTCCTGCAAATCACAGCACTTCTTAGCAGACAGATGGAGGGAGGGGCACAATGAGAGACGATGGGGGAAAAGAGGAAAGATTGAGAGAAAAAAAGTGGAAGGAGAGAAAAAAAGAGGGGAATGAAATAAAGTATGTGTTTTGAAAGGCAAAGCAGAAATGTAAAGGGGAAAAAAGAAAGATGTGAGTTAGTTAATAACTGATGAAGCAAATAAAAAAAGGAGCAAGCAAAGGGAGCTAAGTGAAGGAGATTGAGCAAAGAAAGAGTGGTAGAAGCTAAAGCTGTGGGAGAAAAAAAAGATAGATGTGGCAAAAGGGAGAGACAGATTAAGTGAGCCAGAATGAGAGATCTCTCTACCTTAAAAGCCAGTGAAATATGTGAGGCATGTGGCCTATAAAGCGGTTAACATATGCACATTGTCAATAGCAGCATCTGGCGCTGGCAGATTTTATAGGAGCATGGAGACTCTGCTACATGCCTCTAGATGGCAATACATTCAAACACTTTATCACTGAAACACACCACATTAACAGCCTGCTCTCTAACAACTCCCCCGCATACACACACACACACACACACACACACACACACACACACACACACACACACACACAATCAAGGACTATGAAATTCACACAAACAAGCACGTAGACGTGCTGTAATCAAATGGTCCGACATTGAAATACACAACTATTACATTAACAGCTCCCGCAATAACTAATTTTTTTCGTAAACTTTCACACATGCTGATAGCAAAAAAAGTACAAAAAGGTTTAGAGTATTTTAATACACAGATCAAGTAAAAATGTTGCTAAATTGTGTGCAGAACAACATTGAAGAAATTTCATACAGCTTTAATTATGTGTTGTTATATTCGGACATGTATCTACATTATTTCAATTAACACATTGTAAGAAATATAACAAACATTATGAAGGTATTATAAAATAGAAAACCCTAACTCTGTGTTGTATTTAATCAGTACTAAACTATAAATTTCTTCAACATAACAGAGGTAAAACCCCAACAATATATTGTATTTTGTAAAAAAAAAAACATTAAAAGTAAAGAAAGGTGCTGAAATGACATAACCCTATGATGTAGTTGTAAAGTTTCTGCCAACTTTACATGTTGACTAGTGCTTTTTGTTCTTTTTTGCTTTAGATGTGTACAAATCCTTTGTTTCCAAATCATACCCTGTAACCACTAGTGTGCCCCAGGGCTCTGTCCTGGGGCCCCTACTCTTCATCATCTACCTTCTTCCCATAGATAACATTTTTTGTAAATACGACATTCACTTCCACTGATACGCGGATGACACCTAGCTCTTCCTCTCTAGTAAACCAAATGTTGCTCTATCACCCTCCTCTCTTTCCAACTGCATTAATGAACCCAAATCCTGGTTTTCTTCTAACTTTCTAAAACTCAACAGTGATAAAACTGAATTTTTACTTATTGGTACAAAAGCAACATTATCCAAAGCTGACTGTTCTCCCATTTTAGTTGATAACACTTATGTTTTCCCCTCCCCTCAGATTAAGAGTCTGGGTGTCATCCTTGACAATACTTTATCATTTCAGTCTCAAATTAACTCCATCACCAGGCCTGCATATTTCCACCTTGGCAGCATTAACCGTCTCCGCTCCTCCCTCACCCCTCATACTGCTGCTATCCTTGTTCACAGTCTTGTTACCTCCCGTATTGATTATTGTAATTCTCTTCTCTTTGGTCTTTCTCATAAATCCCTTCATAAACTTCAACTGATTCAGAACTCTTCAGCTCGTATTATCGTTAGAAACCCCTCCTACAGCCACATCACCCCTATTCTCTACAAGCTTCACTGGTTACCTGTCAAATTTCGTATCGAGTTCAAAATGCTTCTGTGCACACTTAAAGCCATTCACAATATTGCCCCACCATATCTGTCTGACCTCCTCCATGTTGCCTCTTCTTCCCGCTCCCTTAGATCTTCCTCGTCTTTCCACCTCACTGTTCCTCTGGCCCGCCTCACCACTCTGGTGAACAGAGCCTCAGCTGCTCTGCTCCCCGGCTCTGGAACTCGCTGCACTCTGAAATAAGGAACTTGGACTCTCGTCCTCTTTTTAAAGACTCATCTCTTCAGGATCGCTTACTACAGCTGATTTTAAGTTTCAATTATGTAGTTTGATTTTGTTACTGTTTTTAATGATTATTTTATGTTTTTATGTGCAAAATTTACTCATTTTTTGTTTTATTCCATTCGTTGCTTGTTCTGTGTCCTTGTGTGTTAGAAAGGCGCACCAAATAAAATGTATTTATTATTATTATTATTAAATTTATGCTTCACCACTAATTTTAAAGCCAAAAACACTACAGGTAACTGCTAAGGTCCTCCGTACAGCATCAAAAGCTGTGGCTACAGTAGAGGAAAAATATGCTTTCATAAATGATTTTTTCTAAAGCCTAGTTTTGAGAGAAAAAAAAGGCCAACCTATGAAGATCACATTATGAGCTACAGAGTAAGATATGAAAGGAAAGGCTTCTTGTCAACTCAAATTCTGTGTACTCCAGCATATGCATGTGTGTGCAGATGATCAAAGACACCAGTTAATCATACAAAATGCAACAGAGAGGAGCAAGGAGTCAAGAGAAAGGGAAAGATGATCGGGAGCGTAAACAAGATAGAAGGAGAACAAAGGAGACAAGGAAAGAACAGACAGGAAGGGGTCTTGCTAATTTAAACATTAAAGCCCTCACCGATCTTACATGGTTCAACACAACTTAGCTTTGAGTGCTAATCATTTCTTCCTTGTTCTGAGTGTGAGCTGAGCTACAGCAGGACTCCACAGGTCAGTGTGTGTTTCTGCACATGTAGCCTACATAAAGAGGCTCAGAAACTGTGTGCTTCTTGAACCTTGGGCATATTTTTTTTTGTTGCACGTTTTTTTTATACGTGTTATTTGCATGTATACTAACAAGCAGACATCTGCCAGCATTTTGTTTTTTACTTGTGTGTCCCTCGATTTGTGTGCGTACAGCTGCACAGCTGTGTGTTGTTCAGGTAGAGAGGCAGAGTGCAGCCACAGGGACAGTGTGTGATACTAATTAAGAATAACCATGTGTATTTGTCAAAAGAATTATGCTGATTATCTCACAAAGGCCCCGGCACCGGGCCCCGCAGAGAGACAGACCAGCATTAGCTGACGGCTGTATACGAGCATGCATGTGCACGACAACAAACGCACACATCCTTTCTTTGTCTCTTCCACATGTACACACTCAAACACACAAGCAGGATGAAATTAACACAAGTACATAAGAATATACAAAGAAAAGTAATGATTGACAGAGGAATGAGCTCTAACTGGTTTGCTTTTGGAATTTAATGTACCACACCAGGATTTCGATGAGGTTTAGCTCTTTTCAGAGTATGATAAAACATGTTATAGTCAAATAACACTCAAGCAAGCTCACTTCGCCTCTATGGTCCAGTCTATTAGTCCAAGCTGTGCCCTGACCAGCCCTGTGAGAGCAGTAATTGTTTTCAGAGGCATCTGAGGTGAGCCAGTGCACCACACACTGATCTCTCACACCCCATGCCAAGCTCTAAAGCCAAATTTGTGTGTGAGTTTGTGTGTGTGTGTGTGTGTGTGTGTGTGTGTGTGTGCGCGCATATTTATATGTGCATTCCTAATTCAATGCTGTTGGAACCATCGCCCTGTGTCTGTTTACAAATGCCCTGCATGGGTGTCCCTGCTAGTCAGGTTGTGTTAGACGAACCCTGAAACACACATTCATTTTTCACACACACACACACACACGGAAGCAAACAGAGACACACCCACTGACACACAGAGTGCCATTAGGCATGCATTTTGTCTGTGGCCAGCGCAGATGTACAGAGGGACTGTAGGGGTTTGGAGCAAGCGTGCCCACTTCACACCGACATCTATGATTGGCTTTGGC